CTCCTATGCCCACCCTGTGTGCTCACCTCTATCTCTACCTGTGCAAGACTCGTCCTTCCACCTGTCTCCTAAGTTAGCCTTTCTTTCTGAAATTACGAAATGTACGATTTCATTGTAAGCCTGGTCTGTAAACAGGCTTAAGGGCTTCCTATGTCGAAACAGGACAGTGGCACCTGTCTCACCTCCTCCTGCCCCTGTCTTATCTCTCTCTCAGTCTGCATTCATTCCTCTACCCACTTCTTGTTCCCTTATCTACTGCATCGTCAACTAATCTCCAAAAACCTTATTCAGCCTGTCTCTTCCCGGGACTAAACCCACACTGCCAAAAAGCAGGATAGCTTTTGGATTAAAGATGGGACATCTGCAATCAGCCAATTTGGGTTCAGAGCCTGGCCTCACCTCTTCCTAGCTGCTGGGTGACCTCCCGCAACTTACTCCCCTTTTCTATGCCTGCATCTTCTTTTCTGTAAAATGCAGATAATATAATTCCTACAAGAGTGAGGAATGAATAAGACCTATAAAATACAAAGCACAATGCCTGGTATAGAATGAGCGCTCAGTTGGTTCTAGTACTGTCTTCATGGACACATCCCGATGGTACTGACATCCAACATGCCTAAAACGGACTCCCCTTCCCTCCTCGCACATTTTCCTCCTGGTTCTCCAGCTCCTAGAATGGCAGCATCTGTCATTCGGGTTCCTGGTGTCTCACCAGCCCCTGCCTGGGTCTCCCTGCCTCCACTTCTTCCTCCACAAATCACTCTCCACGTGCCACAAACCAGCTCATCTCACTCTTCTCCATAGGTTCCCGATTGCCTGCCAGATAATGTCCAAACTTCTAGGTTCACCATATAAAGCTTTCTGTGCCTCCTCTTCTGGGCTGAGCCAACCCTTCTCCCCTCTCCCTCCCACCTCAGCCCTGCGTCTTTCCTTATGCTCACCCCTTGCCACTCTGCTCGCAGGTGCATGCTGCTTCAACACTCTGGGCCTTCCTGTCCTTGCCCCATGACACCACCGGCAGGCACCAGAGCCCCCAAGGCCTCCAGTCTGCATTCCACACAGCCTCCTCCCTGCCCTGCTCTCAACCAGCTTCTCAGCACTGTTCGCCGCCGTCCAATACAGCCTCCTGGACGTGCTTCATCACACTTCTGTGCTTTTACCCAGAAAATCTCCTCCTTCTTTATCTTCCAGATACTCATCCTCCAAGTTCTGCTCCCAGAGTCACGGCCAGGGGAAGCCATGCTGCCTCTGCTGGCTGAGCTGGCCCTTCTTTCTCTGCACCCACAGAGTTCCCATCTCGAGTCTGGGTCAGTCACAGGGCTCTCATATTGGTTGTGTGGGTGTGAGTAGCAGCCTCATCCAGCAGCCTGAGCTCCTGCCCTCATCCCTTTCCTCCTGTTTTTATTTGTTTGACTCCAACATACATGTTGCTCCTTTGTCCATCTCTCTCTCTGCTCTAGAATATACACTTCATGAGGGCAGAAGCTTTTGTCTGCCTAGAATAGTGACTGGCACCAGTAAGTATTCAGGAAATATTTGTTTCTATACCTATCTGTGTATCTCTAGTAGTTCATACATTATCTGGCTTGTAGTAGGTTTTAAGTGTATGTTTTTGAATGAATGGACCAATGAATAAATATTATGTTGCTAGCCTGTTTTAAAAAAAGTTCGAACACTACATTGGATTCAAAATTCTCTACCTTCTAAGCTGGCCACTCAATTCTGAATGCTCTGTGTCTTAGCATGAGTGCTTATCTTGAGCCTAACTGCTCGGCTACTGCCCTTGACCATATCTCAGACACTGGTCTTCCCACACCCCTGCCCCTACTCCAAACAGAAATACTATTTACCCATTTATTCAACTCATATTTATTAAGCACTTGAGATAAGCCAATCACTCTTCCAGCCATGCCATCCACCTCTGCTCATTCTCCTTCTTTCTGTCCTCAAGGTAATGAGAAATTGACCCTGATTGACCATCCAGGCCCTTGTGACTCTCTCCTTAGACACTAATAACCCACATTTCAGCACTCCATCACCGACATTACTAACCTAGATAACATGTATCCTTTATGTATGTGGCTTTCGCAGAATATTTCTCTATAAAAAAAATCAGCATTTTATAACATTTCAAACATATTGGATACAAATCTTTCTCCTTTTTAAAAAAAAATTTTCCTGTCTCCCTAGAGTACTATATACAAAATATCCACCTAACCTCAGGCTCATTGCTATTATTCTGTGACTTGACAGTGTGTCAAGACATGTAATTGGCACTTAGGAATTGAACAAGCTTCACAATGACCCCCCTTTGTAGACTCTGGGGTCTCCTGACATCACCTCCTGCTCTCCATTGATAAGTGTCTAATTGACAGTGGGGTTAGAAATCAGATGATGAAGTTTACTAGAAAGGTTTGTAAACAAAGTATAAACAGTACCTAAGTGAGGGTGTGAGAGATTCTCCTATTTATAAAGTCTATCCACTTGAAAGCATGGATTTTGTATGGTTTATTTTGTTGATCAGAGGCCTTTCTCATGTAACTGCTTTTCTTCAAGTGTATTCAGGATTCTTGAGGCTGGATAAGTGACTTCTTGAAAAGTGTACCTTTAGTGCATTTGGCATTTTATGTATTTTCTTCTGTTGTTAGCTATCTTTATGTGCTTATGTCATAACTTTTCAATTAGATTGTTCCCCGGTTAGATTATGAACGTCTCAAGGGCAAGTGGTATCTTATAGTCATTCATTCTTTTGCTAGGCTTTTTTTTTTTTAAGCAACTACTATGTGGAAAGATCTTTGATGGAAATAAATGAGACATGGTAGTTACATTACTGGGCAGCAGAATAACCAATACAAGGTAAGAAGATGAGTATAAAAACTCAGAGTGCTATGTGAGTTTAAATAGAGTAGAGGAATGCTTTCTGGTTGTGAGAACTAGGGAAGGCTTTGGGAAGAGATGGCATTTGAGTTGGATCTTGGCAGACAGAGGAAGTTTTAGTGAGTAGCATTCTAGGTCCATGAGGATGGGCAGGGAGAAATATATGCATGAATTTGTGAAACAAAAATAGTCATGCTGGAGTCTTGAGAACACCCAACACCTAGTGCCGTACTTACCTCGTTGGGTTTGTAACAAATGGAGAAGTGAAACAATGGAGTGGCAGATGGAATCCACAATTTTACCTTCATTACTAATTCAGGTTAAGCTGGAGAATTCAGCTTTAGGCAAGAGCTAAATAAGCCTAAGTGGCTTTATATAGAAAATGGGAGCCAGGGCAGGCCTCCAGGTGATACAGACCATCCTTCAGCATCTGACATGTTTTCCAGCTCTTACCTGTTACATTTGGATACTTGAGAAGTTAAAACAAAGACTAAATGGCATTTAAATGTGAATTTATTGTCTCAGAGTTTATTTTGCACTATTCCCCTAGATTTCATAAACTGCAGTGAATTATAGCCACTTCCCACCGATGTTTAGTGAGGATTTGTGTATTTCATAGGGACTATTCAGGAGCATCATAACTAGGAATGGAAATCCCTGGCCTGTTGTAAACTTGATGGGTCTACATTTTAAAGATGAAGGACACATGTTTTTATAAAGCTCTACATTTCTACACCTGAGCGTGGTGGAGAGACAACTGACTTTATCCTTAGGAAGCTGGCTACCCGAGTCAGCAGCACCTGCCCTCTGGGGACTGGTGACAGGTTGGTGAAAGGTAGGCAGATGTCCTGGGTTGCCAAGAGTGAGCAGTGAAACCTGGCGGCAGGCTGGGGGGGTGAGGGTGGGGGTCAGGGTTGGCACACCAGACATGTAATGTACCCTGAAGAAGTCCAATATACGGGAGAGACTATGGGGTGGGGAAGAGAGGTGGTGAGGGGGCAGTGATGGCTTTGGGGGTTAAAGTTCCCCAAGTAAGGCAAGCTCCGGGTAGGCGTGTGTTTCCCCACACCAACTGCCCACAGTGGTTCATCAGGCATGCCTCTGCTCGAGAGCTCATGTAAGCAGCTTTGGGTTCCAGCCAGATTCCAGACTCTCTACAGGGATCCCTAGCCCTACCCACACAAGACAACTAAGGAAGAAGAATGCAAATATTCGTAGAAACAGTTGACATCTGTTCAGGCCTACTTGGCACCAGCCACTTTCCACTATCTCCCCACCATGATCCTGCAAGGTTGCGGTTCTCAGCCTCTTACTTTCTGGACAGGGAAATGGACTCAGAGGTGGATGCCAATCTGGTTGAGTCAGGACTGAAACCTGGGGCTGCCTGCCGGCCTTCAGAGGTGTGTTCTTCCAGCAGTTTCTAGAAAACAGGTGGGGGGAGGGGCAGGGGAGGATGGGCAATGATTCCTCTGTTACAAGGGAGAGGGTTGGCGGTGGGGGTCTGGCTGTGTGTGGGTATTTGTGGGCTCATTTCCTGGGCTGTGTGTGAGTTTAAGTGTGAGTAATGTACATTGGTTGAGGTGTGGGTGTCTATGGACATTTGTAGTTCAGTTCTTGGAACGTGTATATGAGTGTGGGTGGTGGGGAGGGTTAGTCCCTGGTCAGTAGGAATGTGTGCGGGGTTTCTCGTGTGGGCAGACAGGCTGGGATTTTGTGCATGATTGTGAGGGGGGGGGGGGGCGGCGCGTGCACGCGCGCTTTTGAGGGTGCAAGTATGTTGGGGTTCGCGTGGGGTCAATCGCAAGCCGTGTGTGTTCGTGATGTGTGGAGGAGCGGGCGTGTGTGAGGTCAGCCTGAGCGTGCAGGAGTGTGCACGCGCGTGGGTGATCGCGAGCGTGCGGCGGGTGTGGCGGGGAGGGGGCGGGGGCGGGGGCGGGGAGACGCCGGCCGGGCCCCGCCCTGCGCTGCAGGTGGGCCGGGCCCGCGGCGGGGCGGCCGCGCTCGCTGCTCTTGGCTCGCGGCCGCGCCGGGCTCGCGGGGCTGGGCTCGGGCTGCGGGGCGGCGCCGGGACAGGAAGCGGAAAGCGGCAGCGCAGCGGCGGGGGCGGCGGCGGGGCGGCGGCGGCGGCGGCGGGGCGGCCGGGCTCTGCCTCTCAGGGAGCCCAGCGCAGGCCGCGCAGCCGGGGCCGCGGAGCCCGCACGGCCGGCGCAGAGGTGAGTCCCGCGAGAGGCCGGGCGCGGGGTGCAGGCCCCCCCCCCCGCGGAGCCCCCGCGCCCCCCCCCCGGGCTGGGACCCCGGGCCCCCGGGCCCCCGCGCCCCCGCCCTCCTCGCCTCGGGCCGGGATCCCGCTCCCCGCTCCCCGCGCCGCGCCCCGACCGTGCCTCCCGGGAGCCCCCCGCGCGGCGCGCCCCCCGCCCTCCCCGCCCCGCCCCGCCCCGCCCCGCCGTCCCTGCTGCGCCCCGCGCCTCGGACTTCGGGGTGCGTCCCCGGTGCGCGTCCCGGCCAGGACGTTCCCGGGGCGGGGGCCGGGCGGGGGCCGGGCGGGGCCGGGCGGTCCTCCGCTCCCCGGGGGCCCGGCGCGCACCGCGTTCCCGCCCCTTCCCGCCCCGCCGCGGGGGGCAGCGCGGGGGGCAGCGCGGGGGGCAGCGCCCGGGTCAGCGCCCGGAGCCGGCCTGCGTTCGCACCTCGCTCCCGAAACTGGCGGCCCCGGAGGCCGCGGGGCGAGTGCGCTGGCGCCGCGGAGAGCGCAACAGGCAGGTACGAGTTTACTTTCAAAAGCGCCGGGGTGGAGCCGCTGGCGTCCGCGAGCCCCTGCCCGAGGGGCCCCGCTGCAGGAGCCCTCCCCGGCCGCGCCGGGACCTCGCCTCCTCCCGCAGCCTTTGAACTGCCCCAAGCCGCGCGCCCGGGAAGTGTGAAGCTTTCGGAGAACCGACGCGCGGCGCCCGCGGAGGCAGGCGTGGGGCGGAGCCGTGGCCTGGCGGCCGGGGACGAGCCGCGGAGCCTCGCAGCCTCGCGGCGGAGAAGCCCCTCGCTCTGCTTCCCCGTCTTCCGGCCGGGGCCGGGGCCGGGGCCGGGCCGGGCCGGGGCCGGGGAGGAGTCGAGAGCCCGGTTAGCTCCCCGGCAGGAGATGTCACGGCGCTTTACAGTGATGGTTGTGTGGCCGGCGCGTGCGTTTTGTTAGACCCTCGCGCCGTCTCGGCTGCGGTTGGAAACGCCTGCGTGTGTTTTTAGACCTTTATGCCAAAAAACGCTAGCGAGCTGTAAAGAATCTGGCATTCTCGCTGGGTATGTTTCCGGATTTTACAGAGTTGCTGGGAAGTGCCATGGCTGTGCCCCCAGTCGACAACGCTGATGAGCGTTCTGCTTCCTGCGGGGGGGATGTTTGACTACACAGCTCCTGGGCTTTTTAAGTGACGCGGCACAAACTGCCTAAAACCGGGGAGAAGTAATTAGTCATTTTATGTAACCACTAATTAGGGTTTTTAGAGTTGAATTAAATCAGTGTGATATCTCTGGGGCTTTGATTTCTGGGAGGAAACTCTTTTATTCTGCAGTTCCGAGAAATGACCCCCTTCGCCCACCCGGGAGCATTGAGCATTCCCAAACGTTGGTGTCTCTCAAGGTAATTAGTGAGACGTTGCTGGTGAAGTTCTCGCTCTTGTCGCTCTTACAGCCCTGGCGGTGCGACTGGGTTGCAACTTCATTTGTAAGCAAAATGGGACAAGAATCTTGAGAATGGCGTATTTGTAAGGACGGCTTGCCGGGCAGTCCATCTTTGTTGTCTTGTGTGTTTGAGCACCAGGACAGAACCACAGAGGATGGTTTCCTCCCCGAGCACCCATTCTGTGTCACCCCGTCTGTTGAAGGATAAACGGATGTTGAGTGAGAAGAGTGTCGTCCCCTCCATGCCCCTGACACACACAAACACACACCCCGTTTGTTACCCCAGACCTCGGCGGCAGCGTTTGTGCCACCACGCGGGTGCTTGTCACATTGTATTTTAATAGGCAGCGTCTGCCTTTGGGCTGAGAACTCCTTGGGAGTTACAGCCATTCGAGATTCTTTTCTCTCAGACTCCCCACAATGCTTGGGACACTGAACCTGTGAGCAGGAGTTGAAATTGCAAAATTCTTTGTGGGTCATGTGTGGTTTGGGACAATTTATGATCGTTGCCTACCCTCCGATGTATAAGCAAACCGGTTCTGGTCAATTGCTGTATTGCTGTCTATTTTCCATAACTAAGAGTACGGGTTGTGGACTTAGATTCTCAGAGGTCACGCCACGGCTTCCTCACTTACTGTGACCTTGCTTTGCTTAACTGTAACATGACATGAATATCTGTCGTCCCTTACATGGCTTGTTTTGAGGATTGAGATATTGCATGCAAATGGTTTAAACGGTCCACAACACGCAGTAAGCACACAGTGATCTGTAGGATTATTAGTGCCATGCCTTCTCTCTGTAAAGCGAACTAGCCGTGGTTAGGGGACTGGCTGTGTGTGGCCATGTGATGTGGGCATTGTGCTATGCCGCTTTCCAGAAGGCGGACAAGACAAGTTTAAGGGGACTTGGGGCTGGACCCTGTTTCTGCTCGTGGCTTTGGTCTTGCCTGAAGCCGGATGATGAAAAGGTACGTGCTGTTCTCCCCAATCAGGGTCTTTCTGAATCCCATTTAATTGGACGCAGTCACTGGACTTGGCACCATGGGATTTACAGAGGAGGTGGTACTCATAAAATCTATTTTTTGAAGCTTAAAAAGTCTAGCAGGGGTTAAGGGCGTGACTTGAAAACAGATCTACATCACGGGACCCCAGACACGTTAACCATTCACAGCTCTTCAGAAATCTATATCCAGCTGCTGGGGCTGTTTCAGAGGTAATTAGGGATTCGAACCAAGAGTAGTTATTCTAGGAAGGTGATTTGAAATCATTGGCAAAACAGGTAAAACGAGGTTGACATTTTGAACACAAGCAGCCCAGAGTCATTCAATTTTAAGGGGTCTGTTGTAATGAAAGAATCATTGGGTTTGTCACAAATGCCACAAGCCCTCTGATCCCCACATCAGTGACCTGGATAATGTTTTATGGTTTAAGGGCCACAAGTTCAGCAAAAGGTTTTTCAGAGCTTGCCATACTTCTTCCCACCCTCCCTTTCAACCCCCAAGTCCTCCAAATAAACTCCATAAAACAGTTTTTGTTTTTTCTTTTTTTCTTGATCTGTCTGATATTCACTTCCAACCTGGGACTAGTAAAAGGAGGTCCAAGAAACAGAATGTAAATCCCTAAATTAGCTGAAGTTAATGGTATTCATTCTGGGTAGAGTAGCACTGACCCAACGAGATTCGTTAAGTTTAATGCAAGTGCTGAGGAGGTCTTGTGCCATGGGAAGGTATGCTTCGTTACTGAATGAATTTGACTTTACTGATGATAAATAACAATGCCAAATGGTGTGAGGGCTTTCCACATGCTAGGCACTATTCTAAATGGCTATGAATTCTCTCATTTGATACCCACCACAAGCCGATAAGTAAAATATAATTATGTTGTTAGGAACACAGGCACAGAAAGGGTAAGTAACTTGATCTGAGGTTACACAGCTGGCACGTACCGGAGCCAGGATTTGAACGATGACAGTTTTCACCTCAGAACTTGTCTTCGTTGCTCCTCCTCTGCCAAAGAAGAGCTGACTATGAATGAAATTATCTCCATTTACATTTTCCCCTTAAGTGCCATTTTACTGGAAAGGGGGACCTTGAGAATAATGTTCACCGCAAAACAATAAAAATAATGATTGATGGGGAAAAAATAATGAATGGAGTAAAACCCTTTAGCATTATGTGTCTGATAGAAAAGTCACGTGCACAGTGTACATAAAAACGACTGTGCCAGAAACTTCTTTCCCTTAGAAATAGACCCACGGCTGAAGGAGTAGAATGACCCTTTAAGTGCAGTGTGTGTGTGTGTGTGTGTGTGTGTGTCTGTCTGTTTGTCTGTCTCTGTAACCCCTCTTGAGATAACTTTCTATCCTCCAAACCAGAGTTCCCTTGATTATTTTATAGCTGTAGGCAGAGCTGTTGATGTTTTTATAATTTCCTTTTCGTCAAGGTTAACTTAATGTTTACCACTGTCATTACCACAACATATTATTTCCCTCATATGAGCTTCTGAACACTGTGTTTTTCTTTTAAGTAGTAGGCAGGTATATTTTATGTGGGTGAACTTAACGTGAGGGAAAGATTCTCTTTGAGGCCACCCATCTTCAGTTTTTAATAAAGCGTGGCAAAGGGGGTTCTCGCTGACCTTTTTGCCTGGGAATCCCAGAATTTCAGATGATGCCATGCAGGCAAAAGTGCACCTGTCTCAACACTGCCCTCTTGGCCTTTGGGGGATGTGAATTGACCAGCCGAGACCCTGGCCTGTGGCCCCAGCTTCCCTCCAGGCAGTGCCTGTAGCTGGTACTGTGGCCCTTGCTCCTACTATAGCGGGCGACTGCTGCTGACTGTTACTTAGCCTGCCTGGACTATAAACCCTGCTGCCTAGTGAGAGGGTTTTGTGAGCACATGGCTGGTGGTTCTGACATCACTGCTAACCTGATCTCTGCGTTGTCCTCTCCAACAGAGAATGTAAAATAGGCAGCCTCCACCATTCCTTCTACAATGGGTCTGTGGCCTCCACGACCTGAGGTCTGCCCCAGAAAACCTTGCTCGGCACATATTTACTGAGTGCCTGTTGCATTCTAGGAGCTGGACAAATCATACGGAACGTGGTCCCTGCCCTCATGGAGCTCACAGTCTCTTCGGGAGCCAGATGTGAAGTAATCACGCCAAGGTGTCATCGGAAATTGTGATACAAAGGGGAAGGATGGGGTGCTGTGAAGGGGCCTCACGTAGACAAGAGGATCTGGAAAGGCCTCTGGAAAGAAGCAGGATTTAGTGGAGAGGGATGAGTAGGAGTGGAGCAAAATGGGGCGTGGGGAGAGTATAGCAGTTGTAATGGGCTCTGCCAAGACTGAGGCTGCAGAGAGCCTGGTGCTTTGATGGGCCTGGCGCTGAAGAAAGAGGGTGCAGCTGGCGAGGTGGGCAGGGCCCCACTGACCAAGTGGAAGATGCTGTGTTGTACTCCCACTGGAGTGGGACACCATGCAAGGGTTTTAAGCAGAGAAGTGACATCCACTTTGTGATATGAAAGATCACTGTGGCAGCTGCCCATGCCCTATACCATGGGGGTCATCGCTGGGGTCAGGATGATAGAGGGACAGGATCCAGATTCCAGGATCCATATTTACACCTTTCTGTGACTGTGTGGCAGCCGATCTGTTTATTACCCTGGGGACCTGATTCCTTTTCATTACTTTACTGTCTTCCTGATAAGGCATCCCTCTGACCTTATTTGAGTTCTGCTAATTTCTTGTGCATACAAGCGAACTATCTTATAAACGTCATTGCGGTGATAAGCTTCATGATGGGTGTTTGTGTTAACTGTATGCAAGCTCTTTCATTGGCCCTGAAAATAAGTCCACTCTGGATTTTCTTAGCTTGCCTCCTGTTGCTCATGCTTAATCCTTACCGAGATCTGGGACAGGATTCGATAGCTGTGATAGAAACAGCATGACTTCGGGAAAGGAGCCTGTACTCAGCTGAGACTGGATTCCATGGTTGGGGGGCGGGGAGCGAGCTGCAGACTTAGTAGTAGGTTAGCCCTCTGTGCATGAAGCCTGGAGGAGGTGGGTGGCTGAGCACTGGGGGAATGAGAGGAGGCTCCTGAGGGCAGGTGGCACTTAATGACAGTGGGATGCATGGGAATCACAGGAGAGAGTGTTGGAGGTGGCACTTAATGATAGTGGGATGCATGCGAATCACAGGAGAGAGAGTGTTGGAGGTGGCACTTAATGACAGTGGGATGCATGCGAATCACAGGAGAGAGAGTGTTGGAGGTGGCACAGGCCTGGGTAGATGGGATTGGTGGGATGACTGGATCCCCCTGGCCAAGGACGTTGGAAAGACTAGGCCAGGACTCCAGGGGGCACTTGTGGGGGTGCTCCAAAAAGAGCAGGGGGCAGCCGAGTAGGAGAGGTGCCCTGAGCGGGATTTATTTTTTCAGTGTTTGTCAAGTACCTGTTATGCCCAGAATATCCTGCAATAGGTACACCGTGGCTCCCATCTCTGGGGAGCTTATGCTAGGATAAATCCACAGGAGAAGAAGAACGGGCGAGTTTTGAGCCTTAAAGGATAACTTGATGGGGGCAAGGGAAAGAGTGTTGGGGAAATAGTAGCCCCAGTGCCATCGTGTCAGAGGATGACCGGTTGTGGAAAGCTCTGGGAGGACAGGCCACTTGCTGTGCACATGGGCTGTTGTTGCTGTGCCAGCATTGCTTAGCATGGCCTCCTGTGGCTGCTTGCTGAATGTGGAGTAAGATGAATGCAAAAATGGGATCAGAAGGTCTCTGGAAAGGACGAGGATGTGACCTCTGCATTTGGCCCACTTAGAGCTGCTTCAGTAGAGTGTGGAGGGAGGAAGATTGGGGGGACAGTTGAGGGGGAGGGAGTGGCAGTGCAAACAGACCACCCCTCTGAGGAATACAGGTAGGACTTGTGGGAGAACCGGTACGTGGGTGAAGCCTTTCCCCAGAAGGCACTTGGGAACCCGTGATTTCCTTTAAGGGACGTGCCTGGAGTTGTCTTAATGGATGGCCAGAGATTTTAATGGGGACTTAGAATGATGTCCTTTCGCAGAGGGGGGAGGGAAGGGGAGCCTGGGTTACCATGCGCTTTCTGTAGGGAGCCTGGTTTATTGCTCTCACCAACAGAGGAAGAGCTCATGTTAAATGGCCTTTTTTTATGGGGGGTGGGGCAACAGTGGCTCAGCCGTGTCACAGCCAGCCCAGGTCTGCAAGGACCTGGGTCATCTGCCTCTGAGACACCCCAGCAGCATTTAGCCAAAATTAGCAGGAAGTGGGGGTGGGAACGGGGAGATTGGGAGAGCTGGGGCCAAGGGCCATCATGGGAAGAAGCTCATTCTGGACAGGCCTGGGGACCCTAGCTCACCTCCTGAGCCAGGTGTCCACTAGGTACAAAGCAGATGCAGAAGCCACAAAGTCCAGAGCCGAAAGGAAGTGAGAATCGAAGGCACTGGAGCTGGAAGCTCCATGAAATTACTGGCTGAAAACGGTGGGAGGCGGAGTCAGGGGTAAAAAAGAGGATGAGTGTGCTCTTGAAGTTTTCTAGGAAAGTGGAGGTGGTTCAAGAGCAAAACGCACATTCCAAAAAAAAAAAAAAAAGCCACGATGTTTGTTTTTACACTCAGCCCCCAGACTAGGGTCCTTATTTGCATTTTACGGGTGAGAAACTGCCTTGCTCCAGCGCACAGCTGTAGTTAGCCACCCGGCGGCTGAGACGCCCGCCCAGTGCTGTCTGACTGTAGGCGGGCAGCAGGTGGAAAGGCGAGTGGGGCCAGCTCTGCCCTGCTCCTGTCCATGCTCTGCTGTTGCAGAGAAAGACAAGGAGGGACATCAGCTTTCAGGACCTGAACAGGGAGGTGCTGGGAGCCACAACTCTCCTTTCGATGCGGTTGGAGCCCCCTTGCTACTCACAGCCTCCCTGTTTCCCACGGTTTACAGTGCGAGGTCTAGTAATGTGACTGAGGTTACATGACCAAGAAGTGGGTAAAACCTGGGATTGGAACCCAGCCCCAGACCCTGTGTGTGTTAGTGTTCTCAGATCAGCCCTGTGATTTATCCCAGTTTGACAGGTGAGGAGTCTGAGCCTGAGAAAAGCAAGGGGCTTCTCCTGGGTTGTATCAGAGGGTGAAGAGTGCTGGGCTAGAACCCACTGCTCGCCTGGGGCTCTTGATGGCAGAGGAGAAATGAAACGATGAGCCAGAACACCCAGGACAAGGGAAGCTGGGCCCAGAGGTCACAGTGCCTGCAAGGGAACGCACCTCATTTCCATACTTCCACACAGAACGAATGCTAAGGGCAAAGGCATCTTAAGCTATCTTTGAGCCTGGAAGGTATGCTGGTATGTGGAAGTGACCCAGAGGTTGGCTTCCGGCCTGCAGGTGGCTGCAGGGGTCAGGGAGCTTTGGTCCCCTCCCAGTAGGGGTAGGGCTGTGGCATTTGCAGCTTCTTTGTTCTGTCTTCACACTTATGTCACTGGCTCTAGTTTGCAGTTTCAACACTGCAAGGAGGAGCCCTGATGGGCGGAGACCAGCTCTGGAGGTGCAGGATAAAGGGAGAGACAAACTTGTGGTTCTGGGGCTCAGGAATGTACTTGGAAATGTTTCCAATTTATTTTTATTGCGAAGCAATATCTAATGAAAATGTGGGGAAAGACCCAGGAGCCTGCAACTAATAAATCACCTGCTCACTTTCCTTTTCCGATGTTCCTTCTTAATCACTGTGTTTACAGAAGCCTTTTATAAGACTGTAACTGTAAAGCAGATTCAGGATGTATCTACAGTCCTGCAGTTTGCTTTTTAAATTTATCATTATGTTGTAAAACTTTCCATCCTTCCTGATTATTTTAAACAGCTATCTGATATTTCTTTGGGTGGAGGAATCCTGTTTTCCTTACCTCGTCCCCCTCCCAACCCCGCCCTGCTTTGGGGGCATTTAGATTATTTTGGGCCTTCTCCTGTTGTAAACAATGCCATAATAGTTTTTCTTTCCTTTTTTTTTTTTTTTCCCAAAAAGAATCAGTTCTCGAAGATAAATTCTCATGAGTTTGGATTCCTGGTTTAAAGAGATAGAGAACTTTTTTTCTTTTTATTGTCTTTTGGAAACTATGAACAAAATCCCTTAAAAGCTACTTCCCTGGGTATTGTTCTGGTCACCAGCAAACTGGCAGTGGGGGCTGGGCACTGTCTCGGCTGTCGGATGGGAAGCCACTTCCTCCAGCCTGAACCCAGGCAGGGAGGCTGCGTCCAGGAAATGGCCAAGGGCCAGGTCTCTCCCTCTGCTGCTGTGCCTGCCACTGTCATAGAGGTTTGGCCTGCCAGCACCTGCCTATCTCCCTCCTGGACACTTGGGGAAGCATTTAGCATTCAGACTCTTCCTCTTTGCTCATGTGTTCTGGAACAGGCCCCAGAGAGGAGGGAGCTGCCATCATTTATCTTCTGGAATCTTTAGGTTACCTTTGAAAGTTAATATCTTTTTTTTTTTTCTCCCTGTTTTTCCTAGAATTTGTTCCCTTTGAAGAGTGGCTCCTGGATATCCAGGCCCTTTGGGGCTTTAGGAGCCTAGTAGGTGAAATTCTCTGCCTCTGAGGAGAAACACTGCCTGCTCCTTTCTCAAGAGCAAGCTCCCCATTGCTATGGATACCGAATCCACATATTCTGGATATTCTTACTATTCAAGTCATTCGAAGAAATCTCACAGACAAGGGTATGTAAGCTCTTGATTGTTCCACCTTTATTTCCATTTGGGGAAACTTGCAGGTTGGTCCCTCTTTCTAGGCTCACTTTTCTTTTCTTTAAATATTTTATTTATCTATTAGAGAGATGGAGAGAGAGCAGAGCACACCAGTGGCCTGACCCACCCAGGGGCCCCCAGACTCACTTTTCAAGCGGTGAAGCTGGGTTTCGGGGCTGTTGATATTGGAGGTTCAGTCCACCCGTAGATGAGAAGCTGGGCTTTCAGAGCATTTAGCATGCGTTGGGAGTAACCATACCACCAATTTACATTTTATAGCTGTCATTACGGTTGATGACCTAAGTGTCTGACAGTTGATTTTATTTTATTTTATTTTTTTGACAATTGGTTTTAAATTAAAGTTTCTTCCTGCAGTGGAAATGTTTTCCATTTTTAAGGACTTCCCAGAAATGACACTTCTCCCAAAGCTTTACCAAAAATGTAAATGAAAGTTTTTAAAAAAAAAAAGTGTTGATTTGTTGCTTTTCAACTAAAGTTGCTGACTCATTGTCTGTTAGGCATTTGCTGTGATGTTTATACACTAGGTGGTAGGATGGGTCTCGTGCCATGTTGCTCTCTGGCTAGTTTTCCCAGGGAACAAGCCTAGGTAATGGAAGATTGCCATTGGGACGCCTGGGTGGCTCAGTCGGTTAAGCATCTGCCTTTGACTCAGGTCATGATCCCAGGGTCCCTGGATCGAGCCCCACCTCAGGCTCTCTGCTCAGCTGGGTGCCTGCTTCTCCCTTTGCTAGTGCTTGCTCTCTCTCTCTCTGTCAAATAAATAAATAAAGTCTTTAAGAAAAGAAAACAAAAACCACCATCTGGGGTGATGGAGACCAAACTCTCCTCCTCGTCTGTGCAAAATGCACGGGTCTGCCCTGGCACTCGTAGAGTCTGCTGTTTATAGACCTGCAGAATGTTTGGTAAGTCAAGGAACAAGGGAATGAATGAGTGATGAATGAATGAATGAATGAATAATGGAGAGGTGGTTAAGAAGACAGTTGGTGAAGTTGTAGTGCTGCCTCTTGCTTAGACTCATCATCTGTGAAGTGGGTATGGCCATCTCACAGGGCTGTTGAGAGGATTCAGTAAGACTGTGCATATAAAGTGTTTAACCTAGCACACAGTGGAAGGTCACTAATCAGTGACTGTGTTAATGCTATTAACAGTCTTGGCATTTCAGCACCACATTCAAAGGTCCCAACTGGCTAGAGCCCAAAGGTCCAGCTGTGTTGGCAATGCTGCTAGGGCTGGGAGCTCCGGTTGTAGTGGTGTTTTCCTGACCAAGCAGTTGCTCACACAAGCAGCCGAATGCAGAGTGGCGTTTTGTTTTGTAATAGGGCAATAAAATGTGTTTATCTAATTGACTTACATATTTGCGAGCCCGTATGGATGTACACAGGCTGCAAAAGGTGTAGAAGGATGTTCTCTGAGCTGCCAGCAGTGGTCACCCATGGGACAGGGGCTGGACACAAGGCAGTGACTGATGGGAATTTTGTTTTTGCTTTATCTTTCTGTACCTGTTCTTCTACCAGGGTGTGTTTTGTAATTAAAAATATGAATGAGATAAAAGCGTATAAAACAGAAACTTTCAAAGATTGTTTAATGGTCTGAGAAATCATGTTTACAAGGGCATGTTCTAAAAAAACAAGACTCAAAACTCCGTACATTATAATCATTCTATATTCTTATAACAAGATGAATGGTAACGTTATTGGCTGCACCTGTCTTGTCTCTGAGTATAGAATTATTAAGATTATGGGTGAGTTTGTTTTTTTTTTTAAACCTCAATTATTTTCTGAATTTTCACATATTGGTCCTAAAATCCTAAAAATGAGGGCAGCCCGGGTGGCTCAGTGGTTTAGCGCCACCGTCAGCCCAGGGTGTGATGCCGGGGTCCCAGGGTCAAGTCCCACATCGGGCTCCCCACAGGTAGCCTGCTTCTCCCTCTGCCTGTGTCTCTGATTCTCTCTCTGTGTCTCTCATGAATAAATAAATAAAATATTTTAAAAAATAAGTAAATACATAAAACACCAGAAACAGCCATTTGGAAACACGACATCTTTGCATCTTCCTGCAGACAGTCATTCCTTTGTCAGTGTGCCAAGTTTTTCTTTTCCACACGACAGTGACAGGCATAGGAATTTGGGGTGCTGCTGGTGCTTGGGGATGGATTGGGGATGACACATTACAGTATTCTGAGTAGGAACCATCTCTGGCCTCCTCTGCCTATACATGTGCGTCCCAACTGTCATACGTAGGGGCCCCAGGCTGTCCTTTGCTCTTTTCTGAGGCCTTTTGGGGCCCCCAGAAATTGAGACAGCAATGCCCTTGTGGTGACTTTACGATCGAAACAGCATGCGGAACTGTTAATACTTTCTAGGGCCCATGTGGAAAGTACTTGGCAAATGATAGTACAAGCTGAGCCTTTTAGTGAAGTACTCAGGGGGTGTTACTGAAAGCCTATTCAGAAAAGCTTTGTGTGGAAGCGATGGCCATTCAAGATTCCATGGGTTCTTTTTTTTTTTTTAATTTTTATTTATTTATGATAGTCACAGAGAGAGAAAGAGAGAGAGGCAGAGACATAGGCAGAGGGAGAAGCAGGCTCCATGCACTGGGAGCCCGACGTGGGATTCGATCCCGGGTCTCCAGGATCGCGCCCTGGGCCAAAGGCAGGTGCCAAACCACTGCGCCACCCAGGGATCCCCAGATTCCATGGGTTCTTTTTTTTTTTTTTTTTTTTTTTTTTTTTTTTTTTTATTTATGATAGTCACAGAGAGAGAGAGAGAGGCAGAGACACAGGCAGAGGGAGAAGCAGGCTCCATGCACTGGGAGCCCGATGTGGGATTCGATCCCGGGTCTCCAGGATTGCGCCCTGGGCCAAAGGCAGGCGCCAAACCGCTGCGCAACCCAGGGATCCCGATTCCATGGGTTCTTGATGAAAAAACAACCCCCACGTGCAGTGAATTCTCTGAGGGCCCTGTAGGGCCTAGCGGCCAACTATGGGGCAGAGCTTGTAGCCTGTAGATGGTGTGTGCCAGGGAGTGCTTCGGCAGGGCATAAAGAATATTGTACAGTGGGACTCCTGGGGGGCTCAGCGGTTGAATATCTGCCTTGGGCTCAGGGCATGATCCTGGAGTCCCGGGATTGAGTCCCACATCGGGCTCCCTGTGGGGAGCCTGCCTCTCCATCTGTCTGTGTCTCTGCCTCTCTCTGTGTCTCTCATAAGTAGATATATAAAATCCTAAAAAAAAAAAAAAAAAAAAAATTGCACAGTAAGGATACCCCTCATCAGTGTGTATGCAGGCCCTAGACCCAGCGAAGGGTCTGGTACCCCCAGGAGGCTCCCTGTGCAGCTTCTCTGCTCAGCAACTTGAATGGAAAAAGTGGGAAAGAAGAGGGCTTTTTGGTAACTTTTGCAGGCCTCTAACTCAGAGAATAATGAAATGCATCAAACTTGATACGCCCAGTGACACCAAGATCATCTTTGGGGGACTGGCTGGTTTCCAAACAGATGATAAGTGACTCTTTTTCGACAAAGAAATCAGTGGCCTGGTTTTGTGATGTCTGCTCTCTCCAGAGGGTGTCCAGTTAGTTCACTTGCTGGGAAAATGGTGCAGACTTCAGCGACCTTGCCTCATCTGGGGAGTCTGGAGCGGTGGTTCCCCAAGTCCCGTACAGCAGTGGGCAGTGATGCTGATAAACACTTGGTGGGCACTGGAGAGGTTCCTCAGTCTCTGTCCCCCCAGAGGTGGTGCCTCCCTCCAGCAAGCAATAGAGTGGCAGTGCAGAGAGGCAGTGTTATTTGCCTGACGTTCCGAGGCTAGGAGATAGGTTTCAGGCCTGACTTGTTGGGCCTTTGGAAGCCCAGGCTTTCCCCTCTGGGCTGTGCTAGATGGGGAGCAGCAGGAGGAACCGATAGGGGGAGGGTGGGGGCAATTCGAGTGACTAATGCGCTGAAATGCACTGTTGAAAAGAGGGCGGCCAGAATGCAGAGGGAATTGGCGCTTTTGGTCCCAGGCGGCGTCAGAGTTAGTTTGTGGAGTGCCCAGCCCTCCCACCCGAGCGGGTGCCAAGCCAGCGGAAGCAGCCAGCCAGCCCCACCATCAGCAGGGAAAGGACAGGTAGTGGGTGGTGGTAGAGGAGGAAAGGGAGGAGTGACTGGTGGGGCCGGCTTTCCCCAAATAGAAATAGACAAACAACAGAAACCTAGCGAAATAGTCTTCCCAGGAAATGCCTACTGTAGTGGGAAGAGAACAGGGGTGGATGGGGGTTCTGGCTGCAGCGAGGCGGTTTTACAGCAGCCCCCAGATGCCCAGCGGGGGAGTTGCCTAAATAGATGCGTTGACACACACACGTGCAGGTACAGACACATGCCTGGGCCTCCTGCGTGCTGTTGCTTGCTCTTCCCACCCTCTCGCCTGCATACACACAAGCACAGATACACTCTGATCTGTACCCTTACAGGTAGATGTTGCATAGACACAGTCTCCGAGGTAAAGATATCCATTTAATGCTATTTTAATAAGCCACTCTGTACCTCAATATTGTACAGCTGAGCATTACACTCACCTCTCGGCTCCCATTATTGAGCCCCTGCTGTATACAGGCATTTCACAAACCGCCAGACTTCCAAGCACTCACTCCCCCAACCCTCTCTCCAGGAGCATTTGGGTGGAAGAACCTTGGGGACAGTTTCCTAGACCACCTGCATCCTGATCACCTGGGGTGCTGGTGAGAAATGCAGATTCCTGTCCTCTCCCCTACAGAACTCTCTAGGGGTGGGGCCAGCGAATCTGCACCTAAATCCCTGCCCCAGGTGGTGGCTCTGCACACTCAGGTATGAAAAGCGGTGTGAAAAGCGCTGGTTTAGCTGGTTTCAGGTTTCTGGCTTAGGGGGATGATAAAACCTTCCTGGGGTTATCAGATCCTAGGCTCCTATCTGGTTTACCAGATGTCACCAAGGGAATGGTTCAGGCAGTCACTTCTCCTTTGGATGTCGTTGGGCCCTTTATGCGCCAGGCGAGATGGGCCAGGGGTCAGAGGGATGGCTGGCCCTAGAGAAGCTGTTTCCAGCCCTGGGTGTGTCCCTCTCCTGCTCTCTGCCTCGGCTGTGTTCAGGCTCCAGCGCTTGGCATTCACTGAAAGAATTTTGACTTCCAGTGGAATTTGTGCTGTCACAGGATTTGACCCATGGGGCTGGTAAATAGATAGTCGGGTTAGGGGAGCATGTGACTTGGCTGATTACAGAAAGAGTCGATAGCTCGGGGAGCAGGTGGGGATGATGGAAACATAAGCTAGAAGACGAACCTCCTGGATCTGGCTGGTGCAGGCCCTGGGGAGCAGGGTTCTAGACTTCATCCACACAGGTCATCCGGAAGACTGCCCAGGCACATGGGAAGGCTCTCCCCAGTTGTTTATTGTTTCTCCCACTGGGGCCTTGGGAAGTGATTATCTTTGGCAGCCCAGAGCCTTGGGCCTGTGGCCTTATGCCATTCACGTGCACAGTAGTTTGTGACTGCCAGCAGTCGCACCACAGGCGCTTTCCAGAGCGCCAGTAGTTCAAGTAGAGGGTGTCAGGGTGAGCATCAGGAACGGTCATGCTAGATCTTCCGGTTGCTCTTCAGATCAGCGCAGCACAGTGGGTGTGATTCGAGGTGGTGGGAGCAGAACCGGGTTCACATCTTGCTTTGCCTCTTACTACTATTTTGGGAGGTCCATTAGCCTCCATAAGCCTCAATTTCTTCATCTCTAAAATGGAGACAAGACTACCATCCTCATACAGTGATTGTTAGGATCGAATGGAATTAATACAATAAAGCACCTAGTAGAGTGCTCTCCAAAGTGGGGGTGGGGGGTGGAATGACTGGCATCTATAGATACATCTCTAGGTGAGCAGATTCTCTGCTGTCCCCCTCGTTAACCTGGTTAAACTAAAACACTCAAGTTGACCAGGACACATGTGTTTCTGGACTCTATTTAGCAATAGATCGGGATGATAGGTTATGCTCTAGAAATTCGAGATGCTCCTCACTGAGAGTGTCTGGGCCCCAGGATGCTTCCCTGCTCTTTGAAGGAACTAACCAGAGCTTATCCTAGGGAGGTGCCAGTAAGGTAGGTGTTGGCCCGCAGGAAGTCTGTGTGTGATTTTGTTGGCTAAGTAGCAGGCTAATAGGGGACACGCCGTGGAGAGGAAGGAGCTGGGTCGTGTGTTAACAGTTGCTTCTACATCTCCCCTGAGGCCCCCGCACGGAGCTCTGCACACATTATCTCTTATCATTGTCCCTGTTTCACAGAGAGGAAACTGAGGCTTTCAGAAGTTGAATAACTTGCACAAGGTCACACATCTAAGGGGTAGAACTGAGATCTGACTCTTGTCCCCAAAATCTGTGCACAGTGCTCTGTCCTGCTCTGGGTTGGGGGAGGACACCTTGGGAATGAAAGCAGGTGTTTGAAGGGAGGACTAATGTCAAGGTGGCCCATAAGACAGGGAGTTGAGGGAACTTATTCTTGGTCACCAATGGGCAGGCTCCTTCTGTGGGGGCTCCTCTGTCGAGTGTTTTCAGGTAGGGGGGCAGGAGTGCCAGTGTCCATAGGTGCTTAATGGCCAGGTTGTAACTTCTGAGTTTTGCACAGTGATTGATTCCTTTGGTAATTTCAAGATTGACCCATGGCAGGGTGCTCTGGCAGTTACCCTGGACGACTACCCAGGAGGTCCATCTGGGGTAAAATGAGGCAGCAGCCTGTTCTCCTCAGGAAGCCTAAAAATACACACACATGCACACACACAAACACGCCCCTTGGTTTCGTTTGTCCTGGCTTTTATTGTTCTTCTGGGTCGCTTTTGAGTTCAGCTAGAACCTAGGGGAGTGACTTTTAGTCTGATTTTGTAAGAATGAGAAGTAAAGGCTTCTTTGTACTGGTTTAGAATTTCCTTTCTTCTCAACTTGTCCAAAGGTGTAGGGTGACAATGTGTCCCAGATTTTTGTGGACAGACCAACGTGTAAAATATCTTGCCATGTTGTCCTCACAGGAAAGTCCGAGAAAATAGATTTAGGCAGGTTATAACCAAATCAAGTCAGTAATTTCACAGTAAAATGTGCTTCAGCTACAGAAATTCTGAAATTTACAATTAAAGGCTTTGAGAAAATATTTTCAATTCCATTGTTGAGGGAGGAGTAACAGCCTTTATTTAGGGTCTTGGAATGGCAGAAAGATAATACTAAGTAGAGAGTAAAAATTAGCTTACTCCTTGCAAGGGGGGAGGCTTGGGTGGGTATTGGCATGGCGTGTGTGTTTGTGTGTGTGTGTGTGTGTGTTTGTGTGTGTTGAATTTTACTAAGCTCAAAATGAAATTTATAATATATTTCAATGGGGGGTGATTCACATGGTATAAATGTGCTGACTGATGATCTTTTTTCCCCCCCTCCCAGGGAGAGAAATAGAGAGAGACACAAATCACCCCGGAATAAAGATGGCAGAGGGTCAGAAAAATCTGTCACCATTCAAGCTCCTACCGGAGAGCCCCTGTTGGCAAATGATTCTACTCGGGCAGAGGAAGTTCAGGTAAGGATCAAAGGCAGTCTGTAAGCTCACTGCTCCTTGATGGAGACTCCTTTCAGCAAATGTTTTCCTAAGTCTTGTTGCAGTAGATTCTCTTGGGTTTTTATCTTTATTTTTCTAGCATGGTAATGAGTTTATCTATGTCTCGTGGTTTCTTGTCGGTCTAAGGACAGCCTGTCCTGCCATTGGCTACCTTGGGGATTTTTCTGGAGTGTGATTGGTTGGCCTGCTTTGAATGGTGTTGAAAAGAAGCCAGCCAGCCTGATGACTGGGCAGAGAAAGGGAAAGTTACAGGCTGCAGTCTCCGGAGACATGGTCCAAAGTGGAACAGTGCATGAGGGAAGGAAGGAAATGCTGTCCAGAAACCTTGAGTACAGTGGGGAACAAGAGGTTAAGGGAGCCCAGACCAACCACCATGAAGTACATGAAATAAATTGGGGAGTTGTACACTCAGATGCTTGACAGGAAAACTGGATGAGTGAAGTAGGCCTTGGGTCACAGAGAAGGGGCAAAAAAACATACCAGGCAAGCTCAGGGGTGAGCTGTAACCTGTGTGGCACTTCCGTTGTCGGGGTCGTGGTACAGAGCGATGGGGTCTGTGGCAAACTGGAGAATGCATCTCTGTCAGCAGAACTGCAGCTCCCCAGCTCCAGACACTTACTACTGCTCAGGAATGCAGGAATTCAGTGTTCCTGGTCTAGTGGTATTTAAGAAAAGCTGAAAATTAGCATTTTTATGTGAAATCACCCAATATTCAAATATTGGCAACCTGTGAACTTTTAAGACACTGTGTGAGTTCTCCTCGCTGGGTCTTAACTATCTGGCAGCCCACCTGACTTAAATAAACATCTGAAGCATACTCAGAAACATGTTTGCACACCCTCCACAGTTCTTGAAATATACGTGTGGCCGGCCTTGGCCCCAAATAAATCAATGTCTGCTCACGCCTGCAGGTACGTACACACACACATATATGCATTTATAAGCAGATGGGTGGCCTGAAATTGGAATTCCTCAGAGCACATGAGGTGCTGTGGGATGAATGTAGAGTTTGTTGCTGGTACTTACCATCACCCCACCTGCCATGGCTCTGGAAGGACCAGAGGGACGGTTAGATGGTTGGGACTAATCCTAAGATTAGACTACCTTATAGGGGGGTCGCTCCCTTTCCTTCTAGATGCGGATTCGGAGGTGCTGGTGGCCCACTGTGAAGGCATTTCTTCTTTGCAGCTTCTCTACGTCTTGGAGCTCACTGAGAAACTGTTGGTGTTTATTCCAAGTGGATGTGATGGGAACAGCACTGAAATGGGCTTTTGGAGGCTGTGTTTCTTGGTAGCTCTGTGACCATGGGCAGTCCTGACCTCTGTGGAACTCAGGCTCTGGAGTGAAGATCTTGGGTGTCAGAGCATCTCAGATCCTTTCTGTTCTAAGACCCTCCAAGCTTAAGAGGACCTTTTGGACATCTACATTTTCTTAGGCACAGATGTATACTCATTCTCAAAATGTCCAGGGGCTTAAGTTAGCAACTCTGGTAGGAACAAGGGCATTGAATAGCTAAATCATAGCAGTGTGGTGGTCATCAAAATGGCCACAAGATACTAGTAATAATTACTTCCACATCGATTATCGACTAAATTTTAGGCCCAGTGCAAAACATGGAATCTGGTTTTTGCTCTTCACTCAGAGTGTTGTAAAATAAATTGTTTTGTGAATTGGCGTTATAATGAGTTGTTGATCTTTGTAGCTGTTTTTTTCCCCTGTTGGTGAGGTTTTTTTTTTTTTTAATTGAAGTAAATTTATACACAATGACATGAACCAGATCTAAAGTATATGGTTTGGGAAGGTCAAACTGCTAACTGAGCCCATAAAGCTCACACTATCACTACTGTCTCCCCAGTCAGTTCCTGTCCCTACCTGCAGCTCTCTAAGACAAAGTCTATTGTGATTTCTCTCACTATAGATTCAGTTTGCCTCCTTTAGAACTTCATATAATTGGGACCATTCATATTCTTTTGTTTCGAACTTTTTCCAGTAAGTATAATGATTTTGAGATTTATCCACGTGTTGGCATGTTTTAGCAATTCATCCTTTTTTTGCTTTTGGTGAGTGTTCTGTTAAATGAATTTATTATCCATCCTCCTGATGAATAGACACTGGAGGTACGCCATCTTGGGCTATTCCGAGTAGAACTGTTACAAATGTCCTTACACAGGTCTTGCAGACACATGTTTACATTTATTTTGGATAAAAACCTGAGAGTGGAATTGCTGGGTTGTACAGTTGAGCATCTAGTCAAATTTACATGACCCCGCCAGACCAATTTTCAAGAGTGATTGTACCATTTTATACTTCCCTCAGCCCTGTGTGGGAGCCTTAGTGGCTTCTGGCCATTGTCTTGAGTCGTTTCTTTCATGGTATGTCAGACTTTCCAAGTTGAAGAACTCTTTGCTCATAGGTCAAGACCTTTGCCACTGCCACGGCTCCTTGTCGCAGCCTATGCACCGATACATCATATTTTTCTAATCATTACTAGATTTAAGGTTATTGTTGGTTGTGAGATCCCTATCTTGATGATCCAGCTGTCAACTTACACTAGATTTTTTTAAGTTGGTGTCTTCCACATGGATTTCACCCAGCTTGCCCCTACATCGGACTGTTTTTTTCCAAGGTAAATCATATACGCAAATCCCTGAGGCAAAACCTTGTTGGACCCCATGTGGCTTTTCTTTGTTTTCTTGCTCTGTTTTGTTGCTTTGTAGCAGTCAGAGTTCCCAGCGAAATAGCAGAACGGTTTAAGAATCCTAAGAACTGGATCATGTTCAGTAAGGAGACTAATGAGTCCAACTGGAAACTACCTCAAAGTTTAAAAAGAGAAAGCAAGACAGTCATAGACACATCGCAATAGCTTGGGAGTTCCGTGCCCTTGTTGTCTGGTGTGTCACAAGAATGTGTGTTCAGGGAGGGATTTTTGAGCTGTCCTGGCCAGCAATACTTGAATTTGCTTAGCTTGCTCAATGAGAACCATGGTCACGGAGTGCTTGACACTGATACTTACTAAAACAAACAGACAAACCCCAACGACTAGCTACAGGTCAGCTGTGATTTGTACGTAGCGGTGTAAGTTCCCTAGCTCTTCAGAGCTGCTGGAGGGTATCGTAACACCCCACTTCCAGAAGTTAGCCTTGGTCAGCCTTTCTAACACAGCCATGAATCTAGAAGGAAAAGCAAAGCCTTCTTAGGCCAGAGGCGAGCCCTTCCGTGTTAGTCTCATGGTGGGATTGCTTACTGCAGGGCACAGAGCCCTTCCGGAGGTTGCAATACGGGGGATGATCTACGTCAGAGTAACAGAGCACCCCACAAACCAACCAGAAGGTTAGGCTGTGTTTTCTCTGTTTGAAAAGGTAAATATGTGATACAACTTGGAAAGCTTCAAGGCGGGATGCCTGGGGGGCTTAGCGGTTGAGCATCTGCCTTTGGCTCAGGGTGTGATCCCGGAGTCCTGGGTTCAAGTCCCACGTCGGGCTCCCCACAGGGAGCCTGCTTCTCCCTCTGCCTGTGTCCCTGCCTCTCTCCATGTGTCTGTCATGAATAAATAAATAAAATCTATATTAAAAAAAAACTTTAAGGAAACTCATTAAGATTCACAGCTCCTCTGTTTGGAGAGTTAAGCCTCCACCTTCTAGGGTTGCTCATGGGTGCGGGTTGGTTCGGGGAGGTGGGCCCCTCGTCTGTCACCTGTCTCCAGGTGCCTGCTTCGTGGCTTTGACTGATGACCTGCCACCTGTGGCTCTTGACACTCACCTTTCTGTCCCCATCAGGATGACAACTGGGGAGAGACCACAACAGCCATCACGGGCACCTCAGAGCACAGCATATCCCAGGAGGACATTGCCAGGATCAGCAAGGACCTGGAGGACAGTGTGGGGCTGGACTGCAAGCGCTACCTGGGCCTCACTGTGGCCTCGGTCCTCGGACTTCTAGTGTTCCTCACGCCCATCGCCTTCATCCTGCTGCCCCCCATCCTGTGGCGGGACGAGCTGGAGCCCTGCGGCACGATTTGTGAGGGCCTCTTTATCTCCGTGGCCTTCAAGCTCCTCATCCTGCTCATCGGGACGTGGGCGCTCTTTTTCCGCAAGCAAAGGGCCGACGTGCCACGGGTTTTCGTGTTCCGCGCCCTGTTGTTGGTCCTCGTCTTCCTTTTCGTGGTCTCCTATTGGCTCTTCTACGGGGTTCGCATTCTGGACTCGCGGGACCGGAATTACCAGGGCATCGTGCAGTACGCCGTGTCCCTGGTGGACGCGCTGCTCTTCATCCATTACCTGGCCATCGTGCTGCTGGAGCTCAGGCAGCTGCAGCCCATGTTTACGCTGCAAGTGGTGCGATCCACCGACGGCGAGTCCCGGTTCTACAGCCTGGGACACCTCAGGTAGGGGGCACGTCCTCGAGAGGCAGGAAGGACCGCTGTCGGATGCGGACAGGGACGGATGAGGACAGGGGCAGATGAGGACAGGGGCCGAGGGCCTGGACCGTGGTCTGACTCCTCTCTCCAGCTTTTGGGAGGAGCTGTGTGTGTGTGTGTTGGGGGGGTGTCCGTGTGCATTGACTTTCCTGACTGCTGGCAGGTGACACGTTGCCAGTTTCATCCAGGCTGCGGTTTTGTTGGGCCAGCTCTCAGACGTGGCCCCTCCAGAAGGGATGGAGGTGATATGTGGTGATGGCTGCTGGCCTTGCCCCTGAAAGGAGCCTGTGAACAGCGGCAAAGTGACCGGCCCCTCCAGTTTGCTCAGAATGCTACATCTGGTTTCCACCCTTGTCCTAGTGGAATTATTCATCATTCCTTTTTTTTCCCCCTCCGCTCTCAGAAGTGTCCAGGTTTAGGCACTAAATTACAGGGCCACCCTAGTGACCCTCAATAAGGACAGAAGTGCAGATTAGACACCCCAGACTTGTGAGAGTTGAGCGTTTTGGAAATGTATGCATGCGATAAAGTTAGAAATATGTCGAGATATCATACTTTAAATTTGTGCATGTAATCTGTTTCATAGTTAGCTAAAAAAGTGATGATATTCTATTTTATTTCATGTTTATTTATCCTGAGGTAAACACTTTGGATAGATTGTCACATTCAGTCTTCACAGAACCCTTTGATACTTGCCAGTATTATAGATGAGGAAATAGGGGATTGGGGGATTTAAGCAATTTGTAGAGAACAATATGGCAGGCCTCATTTAGGATTTATCCCGTTGTCATGAAGCTGGGCTTCACTTAATGCCCTCACTGTGGCATCTCTCACTTTGTGTTTCTCTAGAAGTTTGGTTGGGGCGGGGGGGGGAGGGGTGGTGGCAATTAATGTTATTTCCATTTTATTTTATCTTCTTTGTTTGCTATTACAAGCACAAATGTTATGATCATTCTTGTTCAGGATTACTGGTGCACATGGGCAAGTTTCTCTAGATGGTCTTCCTTCATGTTCACCGGACCATTTTTTCTGTTTTCTTCCACAAATTGAGGAGGGGGCAGAGGACAGAGGCTGTGTCTCACTCTCATTGCATCCCCAGTGCCTGGCCTGGAGCATGGTGTACAGATGGCACTCGCATGGTTACCAATCAGTAGCTAGCCTGACTTTGCCATCTCCTTGGGCTCTCTTGCCTCCTCAGGTGATCTCTGCCGTTGTGTGTAACCTGCTTGACACATGGTGAGCACTTGGTTAATTGTGGCCATTCTGGCCCATGATTGTGTAGTTGGCAGAGCAGCCAAGACCTGCAAGGACACCATAGTGGTGTCAGAACAATGGGCTTTGTCATATTTTTGGCTGGGACAGAAAGGTGGCCCAGCCCTGGTTTGGGGTTGGGTCACACTGCCAAACCGTCTCATGTTGGCATGCCCCCTCTATTGTGCTTCTGGCTTAGCTTGTACCCCCCACCCCCCCAGGATTGGATGGTTTAGCACTGGGAGCTTCTGCCGTCCTGACTGGTCCTTGGAGGGAATCAGTGTCTGAGTCACATGCTATGCATGGCAGAATCCTATGTTTCGAGTCCTTTGCATGTGCCTGTGGGAAGTCACTGTTACTCATGTCTGCTTTCTTTCCCCCGTTTTCAGTGGAGAATGACCAGCAGACTTGTGTTAAAAATCTGCCACATGTAGAGCTGGGGGCTCCCAAGACACAACGATGGCTGCCTTCAGAGCTCTGTTCTGGAACTCCTGGAGCTCATGGTCCCTTGGCTTTCACGGTCAAGTAGACGCTGCTCTACTTGGACAGTTGCCGACACAGGCCTGGGTACAGGCGATGGAGCACAGGAGGACGAGGCAGTGTGGCAGCAACAGAGCCCAGCAGGAAGCGGTCTATCCCAGGACAGGACAGGTCTTGCTCAAGATTAAGAGGGTGGAAAGAGATCTAGCTCTGGTTACAGTAGAGACAGGTGCTATTTGAGACTCTTAACGCAAGTGGCCACGACTCTCACTGCCACGAACCCTGTCTGTGGGGTGGAAGTGTGAAGGGAATCATCTCCCCTTGAGTCATCCAGGTGATGGAGCTGACTTCCCCTCCACAGCTCCCACTTCGCCCCTCCCTCTGAGACTGGTTGCTCTGCGAGCTGGACAGGGGCAGGAGTGCAGAGGGGACAGACAAAATCGCCCCGGGGGAGTATGGCCGTGCTGTGTTCAGAAAACTGGCGGCGACCCTGGCACCTGACCACTCAGCCCTGCTGCCCAGGGAGACCTGGGTGGGTGGGCAGGCAGGGCTGAGTCCCAGGCTTGCTGCACACCTTCCGTGCCTGTCCTTGCCATGACCATCAACTGCCTGGCCTTAACTTGTTAACCCTGAAGCCACCAACCCCAGCTCCTGGGGAGACCCAAGGGGAGCACCTTTCTAGCAGCCCTAGCGGGGAGCATGTTGAGGTAGATCCAGTATCTTCCTTTGGGCTTCTCTCCAGGAGGAGTCCTTCCCCTGCCCTTGGTAAGGTCCCCTGTGTCCCTCACATGGAGGGGAGCCTTTGCTCATGGGGTAGAAAGATGGCCAGGGAAGGGGAGGCGCCTTTACTCTCAGATAGAGCCCCCTGGCAGGACTGGCTGCCTGTAGGCCAGCCAGCGTGTGTGAGCTGGAGCAGGCTTGGCATCTCCCCTGCTGGCACCCTGTGGGCTCAGTCACCTGCCGCTCCTTGGGCTAAATCTGGTCTCAACCCAGCAGTGGCTGCAAGAGTCACGGGGCCAGAAATATAACTTCTAAACCCTTTTGTAAAATGTGGAAACGGATAGGAGGGATGGGGGAATCAGAAGACACAAAGAGTGATCTCGGAGATCAGAATAGCAAGACTTCCTCTGCTAGTTGGCAGGCTGTTCACCTTCCCTTTATGGAAAAGCCTTCCTGGTGGCAGTGGCCTGATGGGCTTCGGTGCAGAGTGTTGGTGAGTTCTTTTCTTGTGGTGTTCTCAAAGCTGATTTTAGGGAATCGACTGAACTATTTTTTTTTTTTGACTGAACTATTTTTGACAGTTGTCAGAAGAATGCCTATTCTTCAGTTTCTTAAAAGATGCTTCTCGTTAGCTCTCAGAAAAGGTACAGTGGCCCCACTTGTTGGCAGGAGTGGTGTTATGGGTGTATCTGAAAACTTCCAGAAAGGTAAAAGGTTACTGTGGGACAAAGTGAGATACTGTAAATAGATTAAGGTCCTTCCTAACCTTTCTACCCAGGGCCAGGAGGATGACAGAGAGCTTTGCAGATGTCCGATGTCATTCATGCCTCCTGCGCTGTCAGGGCCGGGCAGGTGGTACGAGATGGCTGCCCTTTGCAGAGGAGAAGCCAGGTCCAGGGACTGCGTGCTTCCTGGGAATCACAGCCCTCCCCGTGCCTCTGGATAGATGTGTTCATAGTCACATCACTGCTCTCAGAACACGTGAATGAATGCATAGGTATTTTTGAGTTGGGTACCATGTGCCAGGCCGGGTGCTAGCTAATTTGTTAAATACAGGATTCTGTTTAACTCCCAGGGCTGGGGGCACGTGGGTGACTCAGTGGTTGAGCATCTGCCTTTGGCTCAGGGCATGATCCCAGAGTCCTGGGATTGAGTCCCACATGGGACTCCCTACATGGAGCCTGCTTCTCTGTCTGCCTGTGTCTCTGGCTCTCTCTCTCTCTCTCTCTGCCTCATGAATAAATAAATAAAATCTTAAAACAAACAAACAAACAAAAAAAAAAAAACCCCTCCCAGGGCTGAAAAGAGAGAATGCAGAGGATTGTCAGAGATGGCTGGCTTGCACTCTGGAGCCATTTCTTAGCCCATTGGTTCTTTTGCTCAGTTAGGAAACAAAACCTGGACCTCCAGACTACAGCAGTAGGTTTGAGCCACTGGTCAAAACTTTTTAGCTTTTCTGTAGGTCACATGTCCCCAAAAGACCTCTTTTAACTATGACTGTAAAAAACCACCCCAAAATGTAATAGTGTTGGGCAGCCTTTTATTTATTCATTTATTTTAATACTCTCATGGGCTGGTCTCAGCTGGGGGAGGTTCTTTTGCTGGTCTGACCAGTGTTTTCTGTGTGATTGCAGCCACGTGGCAAGGCTGCTGGGGCTGGGCTTCTTCCTCTTCCCACATGTTCTACGACTCTCCCTCCTCAGCCCTTTAGGGGAGTAGTTTCTTCATTAGGGTAGGTAGGCTTCCTCCCAAGGTTCCCAAGAACACAAAAAGCCATCTAAGGCCTGTGTCTGGAACCAGCCCCGTGCTACTTGCATTGTATTCTCTTGTTAATGCAAGTCAGAGCCCCAGCCCAGACCTAACAGAAGAGGGCCACAGGGCAGCGAGCTGGGAGCGTGGGGTCATTGGGGTCCACAGCCTAGCAGACTCCCACAACCACATCAGGCTCTCGTTCTCGGAGTCTGCTTGCTCCAACTTTGGCGTATAGTTCTAACAAATTTCATTACTGACTTCTCTCTCTCAAAAGTCCACAAGTAACATGTTTCACGTGAGGGCTACTAGAGGGAGGCATGTGAACATGGGTGGAAAGTGGTAGTGGGTAGTCCTCAGCAGAGATATGGAAAGCACAGAAACAAGCAGAACTCTTGCCTTTCCACAGCCGCCCCCCGCCCCCTGCCCTGGCCCCTTCTGTAAGGTAGTCGTTTGGCTGAAGCTCCATCCTACCGTGTCAGCCAGTGGGCTTTCACTGTTTGGGTTCCTAAGCACGCTTCATTTGTTGACCGAGAGCACCTTATAACTTGGGGCTGACCCTGCACCTTTTTATCGAAGGTCTGGCTACTGACCAAAGGACCATCTGTGCTTTAGAGGAAAAGATTCTCGGATTGCTTTTCCAAACAGTGAGGGTTTATCATCGTGCACGATCACAGCGTTGCTGTGTTGAAAGGAACTGCTGCGTTCCCCCCCTCACTAAATTCACAGATGGAAATGAACAACATGTCATTGGACAAAGGTGAAAA